ATATGTATATATGTATATATACATCGGGGAGAGAGCAGAGATAGAACATGTGAGGGGGCATACTCTAGGGTCGGTACGGGGTTTTGGGGGGGGTATTATACAATGGGGTTAGGGATTACTATCGAGTCACTGGCTGAGTCGGTTTCGGGTTTGGTGGGGTTTGGGTTTTGGGTACCCCCCTCACTGGACATACCTCTGTCACGTGAACAGCAGGCAGCCTGTGAAATTAAGGGTCCCTTGTGGACATCTCAGATATGGGTCTCATCACAAGGTCATGCAAAACAAAATTACAACATTGACAAATATGCTCTCTACTGTTTAGTGCGTAGGTATGCCACATTACCTGGAGATTCATGGGTGGCCATTTACGCACACCCAATTTTGAGTTAGAGCTATGTCCTATGCTCCTTGTAAGCTCACCTATAACTACACCCATCAGCGTCCAAGTGTCCGAGAAAAAGCGATTAGGGCGCACACGCTCTCTACGATGAGGTTCTGCCTCTTTCGCTCGACTTCGGGTTCCTAGCACCGGGCACTTTATGCGCAGAAAAGTTCTTGAAATGATGGATCCCTGTTAAAGGGCATCCTCGCCACGATACCCCACTACTTTGGGGGTATGTTGTACTGAGGTCAACCCACACTTCAGACATGGTCATGTTGATGAGGATACCATTTCCAAAAAAAAGCGTCAAGTCAGGACCCTCAGAAACATATCGAAGAAGGAATCATAGATCAGACGCAAAATGATTCACAGGCATCAGGCATCAGGCAAGTCTGAGTGGTGCCTCCTTTGCAACGAGAATGCCCAGCATCTGATCCTTGCCAGCGATGCCACGCAGCAAAGTTGTGCAGAGGCTCTCCCCCCTTCCCCTAAGTAACCCAGAACCCACCCCAACAAAGGGACTAGACTGTCTTTTCAAGACGTGGATCCCGGGTTCCATGTTAGCTCAGAGAGGGCAAGCGATCAGTCAGCCCGAGCCTGCAATCCATCTGGTGTTGCCATGAAATTCAGCAGAGTTACCTGACGGCCAAGTGGAGTCGGATCCGACATGAATCTGTCAGAACCCAAGGCCTCCCAGATAAACTATCCCCTTCCTGTGAATAAGAGGATAGGACTCACCCGTTTCAGGCACGCCCCGGTCGCGACCAACGGGGGTGCTGGCCAGGGCACATCTGCCAGAAAGGTGTCAATGGAAGCATAGAGGCAAGATCAAGACCCTCGCAACATGGGAGTTTCCCAGAATTAAGGGTCCCGCACTATAAGGATCATAGCGTTTGGGGGGTCTATGTTAGGTCTCCCTGTTTATGGAAACTGCCCAATGAAGAGGCTTCACTACAAGGACCAAACATAGGACCCGCCGCCTGCACGCACACCTCTGGCGAGTAGTGCGGGTTCGGCAGCTTCGTTGTGATAAAGAAGCGGAAATCCTGCAGTCTGAAACCAGCACTGGTAGGTTTGCATAAATGGTAGTTTCGCAAAATAAGGGAACCCGAATATGGACCCTAAATACCATAGTCCTTATTATAGGGACCCTCAGAATGTTACCCCTGATTTCAAGAAACCCTCGAATATTATCTAAGGATTATCCAGGGATTGCTGAGGATCATACAGGAATGGCGTCAGTCGCCCCGCCCCCCGCCCCATGCTTTGAAAGTCCTTAAAACGTAATTCTAGGGGGTCGCTAGTTTTGATGAATGCAAACTTTAAAGACATCTCGCGAGGCCTTGTTGTACTCGCACTGGGAGTCGCCGAGGCGAATCATCATCTTAATGAAGACAGGAGGATCAAATACACAGAACGTCAGATAAAATGAATACTCCCTGCACATCATTATGCACCTCCTTGCAGAATTCTACAATTTTGGCTGTTTCTTACAACCGGCTGGGCGCTTGCAGACTGAGTGGCAAGGGTAATAGCATAGCAGCTACTGTTGATACTAAAATCCTGCATGACCTTAATATACTATAGTACTATAATTCCCAAGGTATATGCTACTTAGGGTCATGCAGGATTTTTAGTATCCACCGTAGTTCTCAGTCTGACCGTCCCACTGAGAAGCAGGCCACACTACCGGCTTTGAAGATGGCCTGCATGCTGCATCCAGTTAGGGATTGGGGTTTAGGGTTTAGGGTTTTTTATAATCCCGTCGGCAGGGTTTAGGGTTTTAGGGTTTAGGGGTTAGGGGTTTACGGGTTTAGGGGTTTACGGGTTTAGGGGTTGGGGGTTTACGGGTTTAGAAGTTTACGGGTTTAGGGTTTTAGGGTTTAGGGGTTAGGGGTTTACGGGTTTAGGGGTTTACGGGTTTACGGGTTGAGGGGTTTGCGGGTTTAGG